AAAGAGCCCAGGGACGGTCCTGCCCCGAGCGCTGCCTCAAGTGGGTAAGCGAGGAATGTGGCCTCCTGGTGCCAGGGGTCAGGCGGGCTGTCACTGGCCGGCTGAATGCGGCCCGGCCGGGAGTGGCCCCAGGGCGCAGCAGACCCCCGGCAATGGGTTTCAGGGGACCTGCCTGTCATGTTCCCCACCTGTCTCCGGGGAGTCCTCCCACCCGGCCCCTCTGGCCTGCACCCCAGCTCGTATATGCAGAAGTAAACCTTTAAAAAAAAAAGTCACCTTCAGACATGCCCCCCAAACGACACCTCACTCAAATGTTAAGCATATGCCAAAAGAACAGCAACCCCACCGTATTTATTAGTCTGACACGAGGGGGTTCCCTTTGCGCCCTGCCTGCACCCCCTCCCAACCCCTAGCCACACTTCAGGCTACTCCTCCAGGTCTGTTCCTGTGTGCTGAATAGGCAGATGGCGCATGTTTTCACGCCTAATGCTCTAGCCCCAAACTCCGCGCTCTTTCCTCAGCCAGGTCCGTATTTTCTCCTTCCCTGTGACCTCCACGGCCTGGTCTGTGCCCTCTCTGCCAGGGGCACAAAAAGTGACTGCGCGGTCCAGGTGGCTGTGGGGGCCCCGGGGACACACCCCCTCATTAAGGGAGAACCCGCTGAAAGCAGGGCCTTCTCCCAGGAGCCCCTTCTAGCCTGCGGGCTCCCCCAAGCCTGGCCATGCGGGTGTCGTCTTAATCTGTCACACCCCTCGGAAGTGCACAGGGCTCAGCAGGTGAGAGAAAACCATTCCAGATCAACCGTGAAGTTCAAGGTCAAACTGAAAACCTGACAGCTACAGGTCACTGCAGCTCCTCTCTGGGGCACCAGGCTGGCGTTTAGGCTTTTGCTCTGGAGGCCGAACTATGTAGAATCCGCTGCACGGGACGCCTGTCCGCCCACAAGGCGGACGCTGTGCTGTCTGAGAGAAAGGGGACAAGCTTCACCAGCGCAGTCGACGCCAACCGGCGGCTCCCCAGGAGAATCCCCGGGTGGGCAGCCTGCTCACCAGGGAGAGTCAGAGCGGCGCTGGGTGGGCGGCCGGAGCGGGCACGAGGGCACAGACCCGGGTGCACGCACAGACCCACGAGGGAGTTTGCTCGCTTCGGGAAATCACGCCTCGATTAAAAAGTTAAAAAATAAAACAAAGCTAAACACCAGGGCCTGAGCCTGCACAATTCGATTGCCGAGGTACGTTCACGACCGCTCAGGGCGTGCCCAGCGCAGGAGGACCCCTGACCCCAGGTCACCAGGGTGCTGCCGTCTCCCCTGCAACGTGCCCACTCTGCTTTCAGCTGTGCCAGTCTGGGCTCCACTTGGCAGGAAGCGCGCCGGGCCGCCAAGCCCCCAGGCAGCGCGGCCTCTCCTCAGGGCGCAGCTCCTGCTCACGGGGAACGGCCACCCCAGGCTCCCCGCCTGTGACACTTCACCTCGCTAAGTCACCACTGAACTTCTCGTGACACATGGTAAGTGTGCTTTTTCCTGCCACTCCAGTAATTTCTACCTTTTAATCGGTAACATAGACCACATTCTCTTGGTCACTGGCATGCGCCGATTCAGAGCTACCATTTTATTCATTTTGTTTTTCCTTCTTCTGATACAGGGCAGCCGGGGACCACCTGCCCGAGCAGCTTACCAATCACCTGCACGTCTGCAAGCCTGCCCAGGCTTAGAGAACAGAGGGACGTGTTCAACACACCAGAAAACAAGCCGATGATGGCCATTTGCACAAAGTCGTGTCCAGCACTGTCCAGTCCTGCGCAAAGACCACTGTAACAACAGAGTCTTCCCACCACTGAGGACGAGCAGCTCCTCTCCCCAGCACTAGGCCTCGTGCCTGCGACGACAATTCCTGCCCTGTGGCCGCAGCCAGGCCACTCTGCAGGCCCAGCACCAGGGCTCCCTTCTCTTTGGGCTGCACTTCAACAAGGTGCCTGATCTTCGGGCCCCCTCCCTTACCCCCTTCCCTTGATCACAAATCTCCCTTTCAGGTATGCACGGAGCTCCTCAGGCCAGGTTTTAGTCCCTTATATGCTTTTTCTGTCGCATCACCCCACTTCTAGCATTTTCCTGGAGTGTGCTATTATTTACCAGCAAACCACTCTGAGGCATCTCCCGTAACAGTTTTTGGGTTCAGCGACCGGTAGCACTCCTATCCCCCCTTTCTTGGTCTGCTATGAGTTGTCTGCACAGCTGAAAAACCCCACTGCGCCATGGCCACGGTGGTCTTTACTGCTCCCCTTGCGCAGCTGCTGAGCGGCTCCCCTAGGGTCTGATTTCGCCGGTCCGAATCCTCTCAGCATCCACATTACACTCCTCACACAGAAGGCAGACACCTGCCGCTACAGGGCCCGTCGCCCAGTCACACGGTCTCCCAGTTACTGTGTCTGTGCACAGAGAAAGCCCAGCCAGCGTCCTCAGTGCTCGCTTTCAGCTACAACGACATTCCAGGCCCCGCAGACGCGGCAGCTCCCGCCCAGGAGCCGCCACGCGCCCCGGCCCCGTGGCCCCTCCCCTGGCCC